TTCTAAGCCAGAAATGATCCAGTCCCATGACTTGATCTGTACCCTGCAGGGCATGGCCTTTCTCCACAACAGCATTATTTCATCCCATGGGAGTCTCAAGTCCTCCAACTGTGTGGTGGATAGTCGTTTTGTGCTCAAAATCACAGACTATGGCCTGGCCAGCTTCCGATCAACCGCTGAACCTGATGACAGCCACGCCCTCTATGCCAGTGAGGCCCCCTCCCCATGACCCACTTTTTATATTGGTTCCCTAGCCCTGATCATTTCCACCTAGGGAGGGGGAGACAGGGAGATGGCGTGACAGTAATTTGGGGAGCATTGTGGGGATGAGCCTAGGTGGACTTGGGGGTACCTATTTTGAGCATCCAGCCAGCCTATTCCCTCTTTTCAGAGAAGCTGTGGACTGCCCCAGAACTGCTCAGTGGAAACCCCTTGCCAACCACAGGCATGCAGAAAGCTGATGTCTATAGTTTTGGGATCATCCTACAGGAGATAGCACTTCGCAGTGGTCCTTTCTACTTGGAAGGCCTGGACCTCAGCCCCAAAGGTGACAGTCAATCCACTGCCCATAGCCTCATCTTCTCGGAGGAATCTTGTTCTTCACCCAAACCTTTTATTATCTTCAGAGATTGTCCAGAAGGTCCGAAATGGTCAGCGGCCATATTTCCGGCCGAGCATTGACCGTACTCAACTGAATGAAGAGCTAGTTTTGCTGATGGAGCGATGTTGGGCCCAGGACCCAGCTGAGCGGCCAGACTTTGGACAGATTAAGGGCTTCATTCGCCGCTTTAACAAGTGAGAGGGCAGTAAGGGGCAGGGACTCCCCAGGGATAGAAGCCTCATCAGTCTTAGTAGATGAACAGGGCAGGTGGGGGCAGACAGTGGGTTGGGCTGGAAGTCCTGGGAGACTTGAGAATCTTGAAGCAGGTACCATATCCTGGCCTCTCCCCAGGGAGGGTGGCACCAGCATATTGGACAACCTCCTGCTGCGCATGGAACAGTATGCCAATAACCTGGAGAAGTTGGTAGAGGAACGCACACAGGCCTATCTGGAGGAGAAGCGCAAGGCTGAGGCTCTGCTTTACCAAATTCTACCCCAGTGAGACCCATGTTCCCCTGCCTAAATTTTTCTTCGGGATTCTGTTCTGTTGGGTTCTGCCTCATCAAGCTCCTGGGAGCTCCCCTCCTAATCCTCAAAACCCTGCTTGCCCAGCAAGCCATCCTGGCTGTAGACTAGAGGCTTTTATCCTGTCTCCATATCAGCTGGTTTTCCACCTTCTTTCTGGTTTCCCAGCCCTATTTCTTAGGGTACTGTTCTACCATGCCCTTGCTTCAGCAGGTGGATGTGAAACAGCCCCAACTTGAGACACTTAGCTCCGATGTGCAGAGATCTCCTTGCAAACCCCTACTGCCTGGGCACCTTACCCTGCACCAGACCGTAATGTCTTTCCAGTCACTTTCCTTTTTCTCCCCCAAGTTGAGCTTTCATATTTCAACTCATCTTTGCTGTAGCCACATACCTCTTTTCTCTCCCCCTGCCCACCCTCTTTCTTAGAGTTTGGCTCACATTGCACCCTTGCTTTCTAGTTCAGTTGCAGAGCAGTTAAAACGGGGAGAGACTGTACAGGCTGAGGCCTTTGACAGCGTTACCATCTACTTCAGTGACATTGTTGGCTTCACAGCATTGTCAGCAGAGAGCACCCCCATGCAGGTGAGAGCCACGAGTGGGAGGGAGGGGGTGGGATAGGGACCTGGGGCAGCTTCATTGATAGCAAAGAAGATCCATTTGTTCTAGAGTTCCCACACCTTGTGATGGCTTGTGAGTTAAGCATTCTTAGGTTGGGCATGAGTCTTGCCTCTGCTTTCCCATCCTTCTTAGGTGGTGACACTTCTTAATGACCTCTATACCTGCTTTGATGCCATAATCGACAACTTTGACGTCTACAAGGTGAGAGCTGGAGCTGCACTCCTATTGAGACCCCTTTGAAGGCCCGTCTCCCTGGACCCCACATACCTTACCCACTCCACGGTCAGTTTTTCTTCCAGGGTCTCCAGTCTCCTACCGCTGCAGTGCACATTTGCAGACAGATGTGGCTCTGGCACCATAATTGTACACTGCCGTCTAATTTCTTGTGAACTCTCACTTAGGCTTCCCTAATCAGAACCATCACAAGATTAAGCTCCTATTTCTATGGGGGTATGAATGTATAAATTCAGCCTATCCATCATGGAAGAATCATGCAGGGTGTGGGTACAGATTGATTTAGTGGGCTGAGGGGAAATATATGAAAAAAATGTAAAGCTTTTTGTTGAGGTCATTGAGTTGTCAGAGGCTGGCTTCATTGTCCTGGGGAATAAAAATGACCTGGATTTAAATACTGGCTTAATTGCTGAGTGGCCTTAAATAAGTAACAGAATCTCCCTGAGCCTCAGTTGTTTTATCTGAAAGATGGGAATAATAGATTTGTTAGATGAAAAGTGTCTAATATTGCTTTTGGCACATGGCAGATAATAAATATCCATTCCTGTTCCTTCCCTTTGTACTAACTACCATCTCTGTTGTTTCTGTAACAGAACTCCCATAAACCTTTTACCCAGATTGTTTATATTTCCCCCATTTGCTTTATTTATTTTTGTGAGGTGAAGACTTTTTTTTTTTTGAGTCAGGGTCTCTGTTGTCCAGGCTGGAGTACAGTGGCATGATCACAGCTTACTACAGCCTCAATCTCCTGGGTTCAGCCAATCCTTCTGCCTCAGCCTCCCAAGTAGCCTGGGACTACAGGCGCATATCACCAGGCCTCACGAACTTTTTGATCTTTTGTAGAGATGAGGTCTTGCTATGTTGCCTAGGCTATGTCTCAAACACCTGGGCTCAAGCAATTCTCTCCCCTCAGTTTCCCAAAGTGCTGGGATTACAGGTGTAAGCCACCACACCTGTATTTTATTTTAAGAGACAGTGTCTTACTCTCACTCAGGGTGTGGTGGCACAATTATAGCTCACTTCAGCCTCAAACTCCTGGGCTCAAGAATTCCTCCTGCTTTAGCCTCCCAAGTAGCTATGACTACAGGTATGCAGCACCATACCTGGCTAATTTGTAATTTTTTTTGTAGAGATGAGGTCTTGTTGTCTCCTAGGCTGGTCTCAAACTCCTGGCCTCAAGCGATCATCCTGTCTCAGCCCAAAAGTGCTGGGATTATACACCTGCCCATTTGCTTTATTTTAAAAAATGCTTCTATTTTCTGAACCATTTGAAAGTAAGTCTCATACATACTACTCCTTTATCCCTAAATACTTAATATGTCTTCCCTAAAAACTTCACTCCGTATTTCCTGAAAACAATGACATTCAGCTACTTTCTTCTCCTCTGACGGTTTGGACTGTGTGGCCCCATTTCATTGGACCTGCTCTACCTCCTCACCAGCCTTTGAACTCTTCAGTTTAGCCTGTGTTCTTGCTTCCCATTTCCTGACAGCAAACCTGTTTGTCCATGTCTTGTTACAAACAAGATGCCCATTCATTTATCGAGTATTAACTAGGTGCTAGAGTGGGGAGGATTTAAAGATTCCTTTGACATCCCTTTCCCCTTATCCCCAGACTCTCAGGACCATGGCACTTATTTTCTAGTCAGTGTTCTGGTCTCCCATACCACCAGGATGACTCATGGTGGTGTCCAGCTTGTCTTCCCTCTACTCTTCCCCATCCTCATTGATACACAAATAGAAGTGACCTTTCAATCCCCTTCTCAATCAGGTGGAGACAATTGGGGATGCCTACATGGTGGTGTCTGGCCTCCCAGGCCGAAATGGTCAACGCCATGCACCAGAAATTGCTCGTATGGCTCTAGCATTACTAGATGCAGTATCATCCTTCCGCATTCGCCACCGGCCCCATGACCAGCTGAGGCTACGCATAGGGGTTCACACTGGTAAGGCCAACTCTCACCCCGGCCCTGGCTTCCACCTTTCCCAGGCTGTCCCAACCTGTTTCGTCTCATAGGGCCAGTTTGTGCTGGGGTTGTTGGCCTGAAGATGCCCCGCTACTGTCTTTTTGGCGACACGGTGAACACTGCTTCTCGAATGGAGTCTAATGGTCAAGGTAAGGCATGGCCTCAACCCCAGTGTTGGCCTCAGTTTATCTTGTCCATTTCTTCTTTTTGTAGTTCCTTGGGATTTCTCAATCTTCAAGACCACAGTTCCTAAGTGCCCCACCCTTGGGCATGTTTTGGTTCTAGTGGACGTGTGTTGGGAGTCTTCTGGGGTGGTTAGTAGGATTGAATTCTCTTCAATACTACCAATTCTTCTACTGCCTTTTCTTCGATTCTTCTTTCCACCTCCCTCCGCTCCAGCCCTGAAGATCCATGTCTCCTCCACCACCAAGGATGCCCTGGATGAACTGGGATGCTTCCAGCTAGAGCTTCGGGGGGATGTGGAGATGAAGGTGATGGCAGGCCACTGGGGGAGGGGGTATGGAAAGGGAGGGGTATGGACAGATAATGGGGATCGTGGGGGTGGGAGAAGGGGACTCACATGGAAGGAAAAATCTGAATTATGTCCACTCCCCTGCTTCCAGGGAAAAGGAAAGATGCGCACTTACTGGCTCCTAGGAGAACGGAAAGGGCCTCCTGGACTCCTGTAAACCCCACTTCTTCCCAAGTCAGACAATCTCCTGCTGCTGGACCTGGGTGGGCAGTGGCCACCCTCTCTCCACACACCAGAAACAGACATTTTCATATGCAATGAAAAACATGCACAAAAAACCTACCTTATGGAAGTTGTAGCCCTCTGCAGCTCAGCCTTGTACATATACCTGCCCCTCTCTGGCTTGGTCCCCTTCCTCCTGACCTTCTGTAAATATCTGTATCTAAACCAGAATATTTTGGCCAAATATAAAACAACAACATCATGTCAAGGTGTCATAGCCTGGGCTAGGAGCAACCCCAAGGAAAGGTTATAGTGTATGGACATGGTGGGTCACAGAAATCACTGAATTAGCCGTCTCAGGATGAGAGAGAATCCTTTATGTAAAGCTCCTTCATCAAGTACAGAATTAACTTCCTCCTGACCTCTCTAGTACAGACAGAAGTAGATTCCATATTCCATATACCACATCCCTCCTCAACTCTTACCAGGAGGAGTTCTCCCCTCTCCACCACCCTGCTCTCCTCCACAACAGGCAAGGGAAGACATTTCTCCCAATTGGTGGGGGTAATTCTCAGGTTCATAGGGCAAAGGCTGCACCAGAGACAAGGGTACTGGCGTTGAGAAGCTGCAGTTCTTCCGGAATGGTGTGTCCAATGTCCTGATCTGACTGACACCCTGGAGGAGTGCCAGGATGAGGACAGATCCCACCCTCCCCCAAGCCAGAACAGAACTGTCCTCTCCGACCCTGCCCCCGAACACCTAGTCATCCTTACACACCGGTAGCTGTGGTGCCCTCTGTTTCCAGAAGGTTTCAGGCTGCTCCTGATGGTAGTCATGAGGCTGTGAGGAAGAGTACTGAGTAAATCCTGGCCTTCAGCCCTCTCTCTCAACCTTGAGGCAGTCCTGTCAGAGCCCAGCTATGCAAGTGGGGTGGGATGGGTTCTCACCTTTGTTGGAGCAGGAGGCCCTGCTTGCACCAGCTCCATTTGGTAGTCATGGTGTGTCACAGACTCGACCTCAAAGACCTTCCTTGTGGGTTCCTGCTCTGCCTGTACCTCTTTACTGAGCAGCCCTGGGGGGTGTCAAGGCCATGCTCCCCCAGTTTTTCTCCTCCCCCTCCCCTTTCCCCAGTCTCTTACCAGATCTGGTGATGTAGAAGCATTTCCAGCATGGCTTCACGTTTTCCTGTGGGAGGGTAAGGGGTGGACAGAATGGGATCTGATTAAGAAGCAGGCCCAGAAGAAACCTACTATCCATCCAATAACCCACAGTCCCACCAGAAATTCTATCCTTTTTTTCTCTGATTAATAGACTCATTCTGGCCTTCTGTCTCATGGTTCACACCTCGATGTGGCTGACAGAGGGTTCCTGGAGGCTGGTATGAGTCTTTCTGGGTGGTGCTGGAGGGCATGGGTGACTGTGGTTGCATAGTGAGCAGTCCCTGGTGTCCGTGTCGGAAGTAGAAACTTTCAGAGCCATCCTGCATTCTTGGGACTTGATCCAGGTGGTTGGTGGCTCTCTGTGGGTCCCAAGGTGATATCCCTTCTGGTACCCAACCTTGTCATAAACTACTTCCTCCCCTAGGAAACTGGGGACAGCCTTCAAGAAAAGGAAGCAGGCCAAGACCTTAATACCTCTTCCTCCCAGTTGTAGAGGAGGCACCGGCCCCGTGGCAATACTTCACAGAGAACCTTAGGTTTCCCTTTAACCACTGGGGGCTTCCATAGCCCTTGGGCACCAGGCTCTGAGACTGGCAAAAGTTCCCAGGATGGTTGTTTTTGAGGCTCCCAGTGGCAGTGGTGACTCCAGGAGGTACAGTCAGGGACCAGATCGGCCTCAAGTTTTCTGAACCTTGGAGGAGTACGGGGCCTGAGCTCAAGGCCAGGGCCAGCACCTGGGCCAGGTTCAGAGCCAGGATCTGGACCAGAGCCAGAGTCAGGGACAGAGCCACGGCCAGGACCAGAGCCAGGGACAAAGCCACAGCCAGGACCAGAGCCAGAGGCAAGGACAGAGCCACGGCCAGGACCAGAGTCAGAGGCAAGGACAGAGCCACGGCCAGGACCAGAGCCAGAGGCAAGGACAGAGCCACGGCCAGGACCAGAGCCAGAGGCAAGGACAGAGCCATGGCCAGGACCAGAGCCAGAGGCAGGGACAGAGCCACGGCCAGGACCAGAGTCAGAGGCAGGGACAGAGCCACGGCCAGGACCAGAGCCAGAGCCAAGGACAGAGCCATGGCCAGAACTGGAGTCAGGATCAAGGCCAGGACTAGAACTAGGGTCCGTTTTAGTACTGGAATCCTGAGCAGTACAGGGAATATAGACTGGCTCGAAGTGGAGACTCTTATGGCCTATGCTATGGGCAAAGTTGGTTTTCGTGCAGGGATCCCCAAGAAGACTGGGGTCAGAGGATGGCCCTGTGAACTCAGAATAGGGCGCTAGGGTCTTTGTAGATAACGCAGCTGCTTTGGCAGTGGTGATGGCTGCAGTGGCTGCCGCAGCTGATGCAGCCGCTGCAGCTGCTGCGGTTGCCGCTGCCAGGGCAGACCTAGGACCATCTTCTGAAGAAGAAAATGGTTCCGAAGTGATTGCCAGTCCGGAGCTGTGCTGTACGTCTAAAGAACTAAAAGAAAGCAGACGCGACAAGGTTGTCGAAAGCGCAGGAGAGGAAGTCCGCTGACCTTCCCCGTCCCCTACGTCTACAGCCAGGGCTGCAACCTTACCGCGACCGCGATCCCTCCGTAGGCGCGTTGGTCTCCATCTTCAGATCCCGGTTACCGGGTTGCCATAGAGACAGCAAACAACCCCCGGAGACTGCGCAGAACTAGAGATGGGGGGACGGGGAGGCAAGGCCTCTGCGGGGCGGAAGTATTAAAGCTGGTGGGGCCGGAAGCCCGCTTTCCGGTCCCGACGGGATTCCGCCTCAGCCGGGCTTTTAAAGTTCCGCTGGTCTAAGTATGACCTTGCTTTCCACGCCCAAGCATGATTGAGGCTTTCTGAGGTGATTCTTCATGGGGATATGTTGGAGAGAAGCACAGGGCTGGGACAGCAGACAGTAGCCTACTTGATGTGCTGGTGGGGGGCAACAGTAGCTTCCCCCTTGGTTTTGCTTCGTTCATTCTCAAAAGTGGGGGGTGATCTTTAAAAAATTTAAGTATGAAAATACGTGAATCAGCTTAATAGCAAAATGGTGAGACATACAGAGTTGTGAAAAAGTAGGTGCTTTTTTTTTTTTTTGGTGTGATTGCTTTTCTGATAAAAGGTCTTCATATTGACTACCCTCCTCCCAAACCCCTTAGAACCTGGTTTGTCTGCTGAATAAAGACCAGGATTATGCAAGTCTTACACCTGGTTTTGTTTCTTCAGGCTCATTCATACTGCTCACTTGTACTACTACTTTTCTGGAAGCTTGATCTAGGGTGGGCCACTTGTCATGAGACTGTCTGCAGGTGAAATTCTCCTTTAACCACAGAATGGGCTTCCTCATTGTCTCTCACTCAGACCCTGGCCAAGGGGAATCATAGCCCTATATGTTTTCTTTCCCTTTTGTGAAATACATTTTTATATAGTTAAGACAGGAATGCGAATTGAAGGAGAGCAGTTTTATTAGCATCAAGGGTTCTTTTTTCCCTTCTCCACCCAAGTAATCATATCTGGAGTTCTTGTTCAGTTGACAAGTTCAACCTGGAGGCCACCGGAGCTGTCGGCCCCCAAGTACATGAATGTGCAGGTGATATACAGATTGTGCACCCAGCTTCCCATCATTGATCACTGAAATGGAATTTGGGGTTGGGGGGTCAGGATCATGGCAGAGGTCAAAATAGGAAGATCATATTGAGTAAGAATGAGAATCCATAGGTGAGGGACCAAGGGCTAAAAGTCACTCACCAAGTCGGTATCCATCTCCCAGGCCCTCAGCCGTTGCTATCTTCTTGGCCACAAGGAGTAGGTGTCCTAGGAGCTATAGGGAGAGCACAGGGACACAGGAGGCTTCATTCATGGGAGCAAAACCTCTAGCTGAGTCCAGGGCTCTTCCCCATTAAACCCTGGCCCTGTTCTTCCTACCTGCTGGTCTTCTTCTTCTGCCTGGCTAATCCGAGGAATGGGCTTTTTAGGAATGACCAAGAAGTGCACAGGAGCCTGAGGGGCCACATCACGGAACACGAGACACTGGGAGCAGTGACAGGCCAGAGGCCACCATGTTACTTTAATAGGCTGGACAGTATCCATGAAATTCCTAAGGGAATGGGGTCCTAAGGGCATCCCACCTGCTGGTCCTCATACAGAATGTCAGCTGGGAGGCTACGGTCCAAGATCCTGGAGAAGATGGTTGGGGCTGTTCCCCCAGAAGCAGCTTGCTGGGCCTTGGCCACTTCACTCCCATCAGTCACACCTGCAGCTCCTCGGACCTGAAGGTGGGTCAGACACACCAAGGCAGGGAATTCGCAACACTTCTCCCATGTACTTAGGGCTGATAGAAGCTGATAGTTAACTTCATTCTTTTAAGAACGTACTTGTGGTTCCCACCCAAGAGAAAAGTTCCTGAATTTCAGAAAACCAGAAGCAAAGGGTAGGACCACGTAGTGCTGGGCCTGGTTAGATAACAGACAAAATTATTACCCAGTACAACTGATTGCCGCTTGTGTGTATGAAAACTAGCACTGTTCAGGAAAAAGGATCCAGAATGAAAAACTAGAGATTCAAGTTGCAGTTCCTATCTTACCACTGAATTACCTCAGATTGATTTCTTCTCTTGGCTTTTAATATAAAGAAGTGGTTCACACCATCTCTTAAGATGGCTTAAAGCTCTTTCCATTTGCTCTCACCTTGTTAATACATCTCCACTTATTTCCAGTACTTGTTTTCTGATCTTTAAGCCTTGTTACCTATTTTATTTCGGTTTTAATGCAATTGCCCTGTTTGACACTAGTTGATCCCTCATCTGAGTATCACATCTGATCTCTTACTGTGGATTTTAACTCCTGTCCCTTGAATCAGTGGAGGTAAGAGTTCAGTTAAGTGACCTTCGCTCCCCCAGATTCAGGGGATTGGGGGTAGGGAAGTCCTCGTTTCACAGGTACTCGGAGAAGGCTGAAGTCAGTGCGTCACATAGGGAGAGAAAAGGAAAGGATGAATTAGACTTCTCTGACCGCCGAGTCACTTCTGGCAAGTGGGGAAGATGAGAGGTTAACACTACTGCTCATTACAAGTCCACAGGCCTGGGGGGAGCAGAGGATTGGCTCCAAGAAGAGAAAGTTCGCTTCCTGCAGGGGGCACCGAGGAGGCTGTCCATGCGCCGGCCAGCGGGGATGCAGGCAGGCGACGGCAGCAGCCGCTATAGTGACCCTGTCCCGACCTCGGAGTCCAGGCCCGTGCAGAGGGGCGCTCATCGTTAGTTCACTCTCCAGAGCTACGAGACCGCATAGCCCTGGAACTTGCGGGTGTGGAGGGGCAGAGGCCACAGGCGGGAGCTCTGGCTCCTGCCCCGCGCGCCTTCGCGAGCCGGGAGGAACGCGGCCCCGAGCCCGGGCGGGCGTCAGAGTCCGCGGGACCCTTTCCTAACTAGCCCCCGCGCTACTTCTCACCTGTGCCCCCCGCGGCCCCGCGGCCGCCACGGCTCTACGCGCCGCGCGCAACCCGGCGGCCAGCACCACGGCTGCGGCCATCTTCCCGGAGCCGCGGGAACCTTTCACCTAGGCCCGCACTCGGCTCTGCGGCGGGGGTGGGTGGGCTGTCGGAGAGCTGAGGAGTGACGGCCATTGGCTCCGCCAGCGGCCGGGCGGGTCCTGTCTTCCCATTGGAGCTCACGCCTGGGCACGATTCATCCCATTGGCTTCTCCGTCACGTTAGAGGCGGAATCCTTTCATCCCATTGGCTCCTTCTACCAGAGATAATTTTTCACTCCATTGGCTTAGTCTTCTAGTAAGCGTGAACATTTTTTTTTCTCATTGGATCCCCTAAATTGTTTCCTTTTGAACATTTCCACTCCATTGAAAGGATTAAGAAGGCTGGAAGTGGGATTTTTCTTCTAGTAGAGCTGATTCAGGTTGTGCCTCCGAGTGGGCGGGACTTTTCGTCTAGGCTTCAGGTCTGGCAGCTACTGGTGGGCTGGGAGGAAGGGGGCGGGGCATCGCCACCTGCTGCACCAGGGGCTTGTTTAGGTCCTTTCACCACATCGGCCAGGAAGAAGGCGCTATTCTGAAGGCATTCGGCGCTATATTATAGGCTCCAAGAACCACCCGGGAGGGGCTGAAAGGGAATGGGACATGGTCGTTTTTCTAACTGGCAGGTCGATACCCAGCATTTTCTCCACAAAGGCAGCTTCAGCCCACTGAGCATTTCGGAGATTTTAACATACTCATCTGAGGGCAATTCTTCCTTTATTTTATGATCTTGTTAACACATTCACCCATAGGTGAAAGATTCTGTTTACAGGGCTTTTTTTTTTTTTTTTTAAGAGACGGAGATGGGAGTGTCGTATCTTTGCCGCACAACTAATAAGCAAGAGAGTATGTATCCAATGTTCTTCTCTAATAAGAAAAGGTGTGTGACACAGTTTGGTGCCTGGCATTTTCAATGAGTCAGGTTTGCTCTGCTGGAATATATATTGTTGATATAAGAAACATGGGGTTACCACTGCTGGGTATATACCCAAAGACGCATAAATGGTTCTACCAAAAAGACAACTGCACTCGCATGTGTATTGCAGCACTGTTGACAATAGCAAAAACACGGAACCAACCTAGGTGTGCATCAACGGTGGACTGGATAAGGAAAATGTGGTACATATATACCGTGGGAGACTATGCAGTTATTAAAAAAAAGAATGAAATCATATGCTTTGCAGCAACCTGGATGCAGCTGGAGGCCATTATTAACACAGAAACAGAAAACCTAATACTACATGTTCTTATAAGTAGAACTGGGTACACAGGGGCATAAAGATGGCAACAACAGACACTGGGGACTCCTAAAGAGGGGAGGGAGGCAAGGGTTAAAAAACTACCTATTGGGTACCATGCTCACTCACTATGTAGGTGATGGGTTAGATAAAAGCCCAACCCTCACCATCATGCAATATACCCATGTAACAAACCTGTACATATACCCCTTGAATCAAAAATAATAAAAGAACATGGGATCATAAAATGGCAATATACTCAGACACCAAGTAAGTTTTCGTGTGACATCACATAGGCCAAGTTATCAGTGTATCTTTAGGGTTTTTTTTGCACATGGCCTGACACCTATAGGTGTTCAATATTGTTTGTTGAAATGAGTAATATTTGGTGTTTCCTGTCATTTCCTTTCATAATATATAATATGTACTGCATATTATATTACTCTTCCACTTATCAGTTTTTTATATTTTTACAGCCTATGTAAATATACTCTGTAATGGCTGCATAATATTTCCAAATGAGTTTATCATAGTGACTTTTCCTGTATTGTTGACTATTAGTTGAATTAGGTAAGTGGTTATCTTGGCACATATAACCAGTGTCGAGGAACTCTTACTTCTAGAGATAGTACCTTCTCTTTTTGTATAGCTATATTATTGTTAGAAAATCCTTTCTTCTCAAAATGGCAGACATTTGATCCTGTTATTTCCCCCAGTGGCCCTTGCAGTTTAGGCTGCATTCCTTCCCTTGGAAGGACAGATGGCCTCCCTAAATGTAGAATGGCCCCTTCCCTGTGCCCCAGAGCCTGCAGTTCTCTGTGGTGCCTCTGGAACACTGGGAGACCCTAGAGCTGTGTTGGAGAAGGGCAAGAGATAAATGGATCTGGGGTCTAGGAAGAAGAAGAACACTAGCCTGTAGGGGTTTGAAACTGGTTATTTCTTTGGGTTCTCATAGGCAGCAGGCAACACAGAGGCTATTCCTGTTTCACAGATCCAGAAACTGCAGCCCAAAGAGGAAAAGTGACTTGTCTAGGGTCACAGAGTCCATTAGCGTCAGGATCTCCTACCCTCATAAGAATTGTCATGTGGCTGGGCATGGTGGCCTATAATCCCAGCATTTTGGGAGGCTAAGTTGAGGATTGCTTGAGCCCATGGGTTCGAGAATAGCCTGGAAAACTTGGTGAGACCTCATCTCTACAATAAACCAAAAAATTAGCTGGTCATCGTGGCGCATGCCTATAGTTCCAGCTACTTAGAAGGCTGAGGTAGAAGAATCACCTGAGCCCAGCAGGTTGAGGCTGCGGTGGCCGTGAGTGTGCCACTGCACTCTAGCCTGGGCGAAAGAGTGAGACTCTAACTCAAAAAAAAAAAAAAAAAAAAAAGAATTGTCATGTATTTTCTAGTCATTCTCATTCCCTTATTTGACCCTTGGCCCACCGTCTTCTCTAGTCCAAGCACTTGCCATCACCTGCAACTACTCTCATCTGAAAGATGCAATATTCTGCAGCCTCTGACCACTGTCTCCTGCACTTCAATTCCTGCTACCGCATCTGCTATCTCATTAGAGACTGTAACAGCTCACTTTTTCAATCTGTCAGTTGCTTTCTGGCATCATTTTCTTTCCCTATTTGTATCGTCTATTCTCTTCACATCTTCATGCCTCCTTTTGCCTTATTTTCCTGATAATCCTTCCTCCCATCACCATCTCACAAATCTAAACATTTTGCTTCTCTAACTAGGTTCTCACTTCCAACTGTACCTGAAGCATAAACTACCCACTGGTTAAGTTTTTCTCCAGTTCCCCACATTAGTCTTCCCAAACCTTCACTTTCCTCTTCCTGTCTCCTACTCCCTGCTCTTTTCCCTCTGCTGCCCCCCCCCCCAGCAAGTGGCCATATCTCCTCTTTCACAGGGAATATAGAAGACATCAGAGGGGAACTTCCACTGGATCCTGTTTCCTGAAGTTCAGTAAAGACCCCATCTTTTCTTCCTTCCTCTTGGTCTAAGAAGTGGTGTTTCTCCTGCCCAGCTCAAAGCCTTTCACCTCTGCCTTGACCGCATATCCTCACTCCATCTCTGGGATCTTGTCTTACCAGGCATCTCTCCCTTCTCTTCTGTATCTGTTAAAGTACTTTTGTCTACTGGTCTCTTTCCCTTTTCCTTCCCACAAAAGTGCTTCCTTGACTCCACATCTTCCTTTGGATATGACCTGATTTCTCTCCTGTACTTTTCATCCAAGCTTCTTGAAGAGATCCCTTCAAACTCACCACTGTACTGTTGCCTCCACTGCACAGGTGTGAAACTGTTCTTTTGAAGTTCCCAAAGACCTTCTAATTGCAAAATCCAATGGACGCTTTTCAGTCTTTATCTTGTTGGCACCCCAGCTGCATCTGGCATCACTGCCCACGCTATCCTTCTTGAAACTTCCTCCCTTCTTGGCTTCCTTGAAGTCACTCTCCTTCTGCTATAAAAGCTAGCAGCTTGAATGTGGGTGTGATGGAAGCAAATGATTGGATCTAGCCTCTCTCCTGCCCCAAGTAGGTGCTAACGCTAAGATATTTGTCTGTCCCTGGGCTGGGCTCTACCTGCCCCATACAGAGTCAGATCAGGTTCCAGTTCCTTTCCCTTTATTGCTGATCTGTGCCAGGCTCACAAAGGCCTGTGCCAGTTGTTGACAATGTCTGTCCCTGGAGGAGGGAAGAGCAGAAGTGAAAGGATCAGGTAGGGGGGTCAGATGTGGGGCCAGGATGGAGCCTGCGTGGGCCAGGGAGACCAGAGGGACTAGGGTGGGACCTGGGAAGGCCAGAGGGCCCCTGTATCTGCAGGGCCTCAAAGTCAGAGTTGCTGAGGAAAGCTCCTCGGAGGATAGGCATCTCTGCAAAAGGCACATAGTCTGCTCCTGAGGAGGATGAAAACCAGTGTAGATGAAGGATGCTGGTGTGGGGAGGTGTAGTGAGGGAGTACCATAGTCCTGGAGGGGATGGTTAAGGATGGGAGTACCTTACTGCCAGGCCTTCTCATTACAAACCCAGGAATGGCCCCCTGTCCCTGGCTTCCACCTCACCATAAGGCCTCCCTCCTCGTCGTCTGGTTTCTTCTGTCTCAAAGAAAGTTTCGTGTTCCTCCCAGCGTCGGTCACAGGCCACACAGAGGAAATTAGACTCAAAACAATTGCAGCAGCAGCCTGGGGCAAAAGGGCAGCCAAGAAGAGTTTAGAAAATCGGGGTTTTCCTGTGAGCTGACTGCCTTTTCATCTCTTCCTTGCCAACCCCATGCCCAAGTCTCTCACACCAGCGCCCCATCATTATCCCCACACTATTTGCATCCTGTCCCCACCCATGCCTCACTCAATACTCCCCTTGCCCTAGAAGTTACCATGATGCCTGCAGGGATGGGACCCATTGGCTATGTGTTCTTCATGGGTGTGTTTGCAGCGACATTGGGCCCTCCAGGCCTGAGGGTTGAAGGTGGCCCGTCTCCTGAGCCAGAACGCACCCACCTCCTCTGGGCGTGATGGGATAAAGCAGAACATGAGGCAGCGGCACTTGCTCACATTGCAGGGCACGGATATGTCTATGGGAATGGGGATGGGTGGGTGGGTTAGATCAGCACCTGATAGGGCTTGGCCTTCCCATGCCAACCCCCTCCCCTGTGCCAACACACACACACACACACACACACACACCAACACATCTCATACACCCCAAGACATGACAACTCTGTTATCTCTCCACACCTGTCTGTTCTCCCCTACCTGAGATGATCTTGTGTTCTCTCAACAAGTGTCCACAAAAGCATTTGGACTCATCCCCGATCCGGAAACAGTCCCATAGGTAATGGGGGCAGCGCCAGCCAATGTAGAGACCTAGGTGTGGAGGGATTGAGTAATAAGGAAAAGTCTGAAGGGAAAAAAAAAAACCCCTCAGTTCCCCCCAGGTGTTTTCAGCTATCCCTGGGGGTGGGGATCACCTTACCTCTAGGTGTATTCCTCTCCACCTGGGAGTCCTCACTTCTCTCACCTCTAACCCTGTAGACTTTTTCTCCTCAAGGTTTTCTCATCACCCCACAAGTATCTTCACTTCCTTTCCTGCCTAGAATCCATTGTATCTACGGCAGCCTGTCAGAGATGACTCAAGAGAGTCTTCAGTTTCTGAGCAGGAAGATTATAGGTAAAATTTTCTTTGAAGATGAACATGAATCTCACTGAGTTCTCTGTGGCTGTGAGGATGCCCATCTCTTCCCTTCACCACATTAAAGCCCAACTTTGCTTTGTTTCCTTGGAGCGTCTAAGGGGAGGGAAAGGGAAGATGTAGAGATGGTGGGCACTGGCTCCTAAGGAGCAGGGTTATTGAAGGTACCTGAAGAGGGGAGAAGGCGGTTGGGAAGCCCTGGTGTCAGGAGGTCAGAGGACGGTTTTCTCTCCCTTGTCCAGGATGGTACTTTCATACTTTCCTTCTATGTTCCTGGTGCTATTGTACTAATGCCCTCAATAAACCTAAGAAAGGCTGCTGAAGGTTCTCTCGGGTTAGGAGAAAGGGAGAGGTCAAAAGTCATGGTGGTGAAGACAAAAATGATAAGTTGTGAGGCTAACCAGGAAGGCATGGAAAGCAGGTGGGGCTAAGAGGTATGCCTAAGAGCAGGCACCAGCAAGAAGCCACAATTCTTGAGAGCTTTGGTTCAGCAGTGGGGTCTGAAACTGTCTGACTTCATGGCCATTCTCACCGTGAGGTGAAGGTGATGCTGTGAAATGTGGGAGGAGAACCAGACAGACCTGTTCAAATTGTCTCATCCTCCATGAGAACTGAGAGTAACCCAATTTCTAGCCAAGAATCCTGTATGCATCCTCATGGAGTGGGAACTTCAGCTATAGGACTCTTCTTCCCACTTAAAAGCTCAAGTGAGATGTCACCTCTACCAAAAAGTTGTCTCGGACTCCCTGTCTATCTAGAACCCTCCTCTTGCCTTCTGTAGATCCTTGTACAACTCATATCATAGTATGTGGTGCATTATGATGGTCTGTTTACTTGTATTCCCATTAGTCTGTGAGTTCCTCAAGGGAAGGATCTGTCTTTTCATCCACATCTCTAAACTTAGGGCCTGGCACAAATAGGTTCTGAGAGAACACAGACTGTCTAACCGATTAAGTGAATGAGAAAATTCCTTCAAGAAGGAGGAGAGACCCTGTATTCCAGGCATAACCCTGATGTTCCATAAGAAAGATGAGAAAGAGTTGGTGTCCTCTGGTCTTTGACTCTGGTCAGAGCCACAACCACAATTCTGTGCCTCAGATTTGTCTTACCCATAGTTTCTCAGGATCTAAATCCTGTCCAAATGTGGCTTTTGGCTTTGCTGCTTCTATCTCAGTACTGACAGCCTGTAGAAACAGTGCCCAGTTAACACCAGTGAGGCTTAGCTGGGTATAGGCAGTCACAATGGGGGTGGGTATGAGCCAGGATTCCACTAGAAGAATTCTAAACTGTGTCTGGAGTAGCAGAATACATTAAGTAAGCAGATGAGGCTCACAGATTAAGGCCTGATCTGAGGGCCTAGAGGAGTCAAGTTCAAGCACTGGTTTAGGAATCAGTGTCCAGCATTCAGATGAAAAAGACTAGAGTTTGAACAGGGAGACTGACAACTATACCTCAGATTCTGTTATAGGTGTTAGTGGCTCTTTAAGGGGGACAATTGGCATCTGGCTGTGGATTCCAGCATAGGACCCTCTACTCTCTGCCCTGATTCCAATTCCCTTGCTGTTATGAGTGGGCAAGGACTGGCAGGGGGAAGAGACAGTATCTGGGGCGCCATATTGATTCTGTACAACATAGCCTTGTTCCATGATCACATAGTCACATGTCCCATTTGCATGATAACATCTCTTTATAGAATGTCTCCAGTTAACATACAGCTGTCCTTACAGGATGTCTTCAGCTTAGAACTTCTCCTGAACTTCAGACCCATATAGCCAGTTGTCCACTAGGTGCTTTCACTAGCATGTTCCATAAGCACGCCATATATTTTATGTCAAATTATTCCCTCCAGACCTGGCTCTCATCCTTTGTCCTCTGTACGTCCAACACATGCTTTCCAAGCACCGACCCTGTCTTAGGCTTTCAGTTGAAGACCCCATCATCCAAACCGTTACTTATACCCAAAACCTAGGGATTAGTCTAGGCATTTCCCTCTCTACTTACTAGGATACTACATATTCAAATTATCCAACAATCAGTTTTCCCTTGTTAGCATTTCTTGAATTTGTCCACTTCTCTCCACCTACACCCAGTCGTTTCTTACCTAGATTACCAGTGCCTTACAATGTAGTCTTTCCATCTCCAGTCTTGTCTTTTTCCAGTCTATCCTATTGCCAGAGGGATCTTTCAAAAATGAAAATCTGTTCATGTTATTGTCCCACTTAAGATCTTTGTTGCCCTCAGGATATAATCTCAAGTCTTTAGGTTGGCACAGAAATGCCTGCACAATTCTGCCTTCTGGAGCTTAGCTGGCTACTCTCCTCGCCACTCTGTGCCTCAGATATAATGCATTGCTACAGTTTCCTACAACGCCTTGCCCCCTCATGTTTCATCCTACTGCATTCTTTACTTGGCCACTTCCTCCCACTCATCTCACAGATATCAGCCGAGAAGTCATTCCTTCCAAGGCTTATTATTCCTCAAGTCATCCAGATTGGGTGCCCCACTTTTCTACTCATGCAGCTGTCTGGGCTGACCTTGATTATAGCAATTACTAGAGTGAATTAAAATTGTCCTTTTACTTATTGGTGTCTTTCATTAGAGTACAGATAATTTTGTCTTTGAACCCTCACAAGCATCACCACCTTCACAGTTAGCTCAATGCCTGGTATATAGCTGGTGCTCAATATGTGCTTGTTGAATGAATAAAAGAAAACATTACACTTGATATTTCTCTACATGTTGATTTACTGTTATGGAGTTCTGACTCTCCAGGGACTCAAGATTCCCAATATTAGGAGGGGACCTCAAATATCATTGTTCAAGGTTGAATAACACATTTCCGTATAAAACTGCCTGTTTACACCAGAAAAGAAGGTCAGTTTGAAGAAGAAAAACACAGTAACCTTCAAGAGGAGAGAGAGTCCGCTTTAACAGTAGACATACACATACACATACACTCCAAGAGTGGGGAGTAGACAGGAGGTTTGGAGAAGGGGAATTTGAAGACTGAACAGACCCTGCATTTGCAAGAAAATAAGAGTAACAGAAGATGTTAAAGTAAGCAAAGTCATTTCAATGCCTGAATTGAGGCTGATAAACAAATGAGATCACTATGACTTTTTTTTTTTTTTTTTTTTTTTTGCCTAGGGTTGAAGGTGAAGGGTCTCTGCATGGGAATGGAAAGAATAAATTACTAGGAGGGATAAGGATCTAGAATTACGTGGTTTTATTATTTATTTATTTATTTATTTATTTGTTGAGTTATTTATATGCTCAGTTGCCCAGGCATGCCCACCCCAGTGTCGACCTGCTGGGCTCTGGTGATCCTTCCACCTTAACCTTCCAAGTAACAGGAACTACAGGCGTGAGCTATCATGCCCGGCTAAATGTGGTTGTCTTTATATCATAAGCAGGGAAAGGAAGTATTAAGGACAAAAATAAATGCAGTGACATGCACTGAATCAAGTCTAGAAACGCCAGAATCCCTATAGCAGGTCAGGGTGGCTCTCATATGGAAGGTATTCCCTATAGATGTGAGGTTTATAACAACAGGTAAACGTGTTCACACACAGGATGGCATGTGTTTACATAGTTCATCTGTACACAGCAAGCCACTAACAGGACTGGCAAGAGTACTAATTTTAGGCTGAGCATGGAATCAATAGGGCCAGAGGACACAGCTCTACTCTTTGGTGAGAAGAGCCAAAGCTTTTGGATACCCAGCAGGGGCCTGGCACGCAGGGGTGGCAGCCTTTTAATGGAATTCCTCCAAAAGGACCATACGGCCTTTGCCATATCAGAATGAACATCCTGGAGACTGTCCAGGGTTCTGGACCATCTCTGCCTTAGGGTCTGTCTGGTGTAGGCTATTTGGGCCCTATATCTGGGGTAGGCTCGTGAGCCTCCTGTTTTTAGTAATTTTAGTTAAGCCACCTGTCCCTACCTGGGCTTTGCATGAATATCCTCATTTTTTTGTCTGCATTCCCTTCCAGACTCTAGGCAGGTGGTACTGCTATTTCCATAAGGGGCAACAATCTGTTGAATGGGCAAGTTTCCAGATCCTTTTGGATTGGAGGATGTCCATGGGACTGTCACAGGACTCTGGAAGGCCACCTGAGCTTACCTGTCTGGATGGCATTCAGGGCTGCATCCTTCTCCCACTGGAAAAGATTATTCAAGCAAATACCAAACTCCTCTTTGTGCATTGCCTTAGCTACTTGCACCAGCTCTGCTTGCTTAACAGGGACCACTGGGTGGGCTGTATAACCTAGGAAGGGAGGGGCTGAGTAACCAAGGGGAAGTGAGGAGGTCCTAAAACTGAGAGAAGGGGCCATGTCCAAGGGTAACCCAGTCTGCTCTTCCTGGGACAGGTCAAGGACAGGGGACAGTGATAGGGGGAACAGGGAGTTGGGCAGGAGCAATTACGGCTAACTCCTTTCTTCCCCTTCTTCTTGCCCGGCTGGTGTCCAGGTTGGGATGTGTAAGCAAAGCTGTCACTGGTATCCACTTCCTTCTCATCATCTCCTCCCTCTTTCTTCCACTTTGTTGATGTGTCCATGTGGACCTGGGATGAAGGGCCTGAAAGAGCATGCTTTAGAAGGCTCTCAGAGACCTGGGTGGACCTCTTTATCTGTGGGACCTCATTGGAAGAAAATTCAGAGGCGAGGTTATCCCACAAAGCATCAAGGGAAGACACAGAGGCATAGCTTACAGGTGGGGAAGGAAAAGCAAGATGTTTCCCTGACACTGAAATGTGACTTTCCAATGAAGTCTCAGAGGTAGGAGTCTCCAAAGGGATCTCAGAGATGGAAGGCTTCTGGGTTTCAGAGGTATGGGGCTCCAAGGAGGTCTGGGAAGGGGATGGCACCAAAAGGGATTCAGAGGTATGGGGTTCTAAAGGGGTCTCAGAGAAGGAAGGCTTCAAGACAGTTTCCGAGATAGGGTTCTCCTGTAAGTCCTTGGCGGAGGGGTCCTTTGAAGAGTGCTCCTCTGCATCCATGCTGGTAGGAGGAGGCTCTTCTGTGACCTCATCTGCTTCCATCTAGTGGTAGATTGGGGTATAAACTTCATTAGGTTGGAATTGGAGAGACTGCAAGTCAGTTAGTCCTCTCCTTTTCCCTTAGCACTCATTTTCAAACAGGCACCAAGAACCGTATTTCGTATTTCCTAAATGTTCCCCAAATGCATTCTCTCTCTCCTTTCCTTCCAATTTTATTCAACTTCTCATAGTTTTTGTCCTGGATTGTGTAATAACTTTGCCCCTCCACTGCCATCCTCAGCATATTAATCCAAGGCAGAGCCCAGTGTTCATAGGGCATTATGGAATTAGGATAAGGTTCTTAATGTACCAGAGATACAAGAGGGAAGCAACATGAGCTCTAGGTCTTGGTGTAATGCCAGGAAGTTCACCCATGTGCTCTGACCTCATAAGGTATACTGTTGTGGGTTGTTAGGGAGCTGGAACTTAAAGATTCTGAAGGAGTTAGAATGTGATCAGTAGATGGTAGCAGAGAACCATGCCTCAGGAGGAAACCTCAACATAGCCACTTGGCCAGTCTAAGTCCAGTGTCCTTAGCATGTCTTAGGACCCTGGAAGTCAGGTTATGGAGTTCTAGAGACTGGAAATATCAAGCCAAAATTGGGGTTGGCTCTCAAGAGTGTAGGGTAATTCCATGCTACATAAGGCAGGACTCTGCTCATGGTCTGGTTTTGTCTGGAGACAACACACCTTCCCTTGACTAAGTCATTCATGTTTAAGGCTTCAATTACTTCCAGGTGTATGCTGATGACTTCTAAATCCCTATTTCTAGCTCAGGCCTTTTTTGGCCCCTGTACTTCATTCACACTCATACCTAACTGCCTGCTGAACATTTCAACTGGGTGCTCCCACAGGCATCACAACTCAAATCGGGAATTATCCTCTCTTTCCCTTAGCCTCATCTTCAAATAGGCACCAACAATTGTACTTCCTGTCTTCTAACTATTCCCAAAATGCATTCTCTCCTCTCTCCTCCCTCTAACTTTATTCAAGTTCTCATCATCGTCATCTTGGATTATGTAAATATTTTGCCCCTCTACTGTCATCCCCAGAATATTAATCCAGTCACCCATTATTTCATTCATTTATGAACTAACACTTTCACTCAGGCACTGTGCAAAGCCCTTAACTGAGATGAGTCTAGGAGAGAGACAGGCTAACCAACAGTGACAATACAAATAAGTTGATGTTGTGCTGGGGTAAGCCCGGGATGTTGTGAGGAGCCGGGTATACTTAGTTTATCTTGGAAGGATGTAATCCTCCTCCCTGACCCAACCAAGATCTTTCTTCCTTTCTTTTTTTTGAATTGGAGTCTCACTCTGTTGCCCAGACTGGAGTGCAGTGTCACGCTCCCGGCCACTGCAGCCTCGACCCGCTGGACTCCGGTGATCCTTCCGCCTCAGCCTTCCGAGTAGCCGGAATTACAGGCACGTGCTACCACGCCCAGCTGATTTTTTGATTTATTGTAGAGATGAGGTCTCGCCTGCCCAGGCAGGTCTTGAACCCGCGGGCTCAGGCAATCCACTCACCTCAGCCTCCTAAAGCGCGGGATTACAGGCTGAGCCACCGAGCCTGGTTCTAATTTTTGATTTATTGTAGAGACGAGGTCTCACCAAATTGTCCGGGCGGGTCTCGAACCCACGGACTCAGGCAATCCGCTTGCCTTGGCCTCCCAAAGTGCTGGGATTACAGGCTGAGCCACCGAACCAGGCCCCAAGATCTTTCTAAAAGGCAAACCCAACCACAGGCACTCTGTAGCTTAAAAACATTTAGTGACTCAGCCTAAAGTATTAAGTCCAAGTTTCTTGGCCCTGACATTCAAGGCTTGTCGAATTTGCAACGCTGCCTGAGGTTTCCCGTCTTAATTTTTTCTGCTCTCTATTTTCTCTCCATGCTCCAGAGACACTAGATATATCACTAGAGCCTTTTGGAAGGGGAGGTTTGGGAAAAGAATTAGGGACAGAGGTAGGACTGTAGTGAGGAAAATGACCGACGTCAGCAAGAGGGAAAAGGGGCCCTAGGGTGGAGAACCCGAGGATGGGAGGAGAGGGAGGGGGGAAAAAGATGGAAAAGAGCCAATTGGGTGGAGAGGGGGAGTAAGAAGAAAAGTACAGAATGGGAGGGAGTTGGACTGAGGGGTAGGAGAAGAACGGAGGTGTTAGGAGGAGGAATGGGAAGGTCTGGGAGTAGGGCCGTCGGAGAAACTACATACCTCTGGGCTTTGGCTTGGTTGTCCTTAGGTCAGGATCTTGCCTTAGGATGGGAAAGAAAAGTGTTGGTCCCAAGGAGGGAAAGCTCTTAATTATGGATGAGCCCCAGCTACAGGTGCTGTGTTCAAAGGCCTTGCCTGAGTCTACTATTTGGGGAAGAGGCTTGGCTATCCGCAGAATTTCGCAAAGGAACTCTGGCCTGACCTGGGGAAAGGGGAGGGACAAGGGGTCCAGACCCGTAGAGGGAGGAACTTGACTGAAGCCTCTGGAACCCGGGCCGGGAAAGTAGGGATCGGTCTCCAGGGCAACCGGAACGCCTAGCTGTCTCCATGGCAATGGCAGTCTGGTCACCTCCCCAGTGGGTGGGGTCTCTAGAGTGGGCTGCACTGGGCCCAGAGGGAAAGAACCCAGGGGGTTCACTTCTGAAAAAGAGGGTTTTGCGGGATCTTTGTGAGCGAATCCGGGCAGGATCTGCGGATATCTGTGGATGCGTTCGTGGGGAGCCTGGGACTGTGAAGATCTCTGAAGGGTTTCTTTGAGAGCCCTGTGGGGCAGTCAGTGGGGGCTGTGAGGATCTGAGGGGGGCGTCGGGGATTTATGCTGGAGTTGAGAAAGGCAGGGTCTCAGGTGGGGCGGGGGCGGAGTTTGTGCCTTCGAAGCCCCGCAGGACTAAGTTAGAGACCAATAGGAGAAGGCAGGGGCGGGCCTTACTGAGAGGGACCAATCGGACTTGCCTGGGGGCGGAGCGTCACACCGACGTCACTTCGAGGCCGCCGCCGCGGGGCCTGGTTATCGCCGGTTCAGCGCAGCCCGGAGTCGCCCAGGCCTGAACTCC